CTTTCAATAAGTATTGTTATAATCTCCATTGAATAAAAAAGTTTCTGTTTCTGTTTCTGTTTCAATAAACCTAATAAGGTGGACCGAATACATCGCTAAGTAATATAATACTGAGCCATTACAGCCTATCAAAATTCTACTGCTGAACAAAACCTTCCCCCATATATTTGCTCATGGTGGGATATTTGCCATGATTGCCACGTCTGGCAGGCGTGTGTAGAAGCTGAGTAGGCAACTACAGTTTTTTTATTGTTTGTCATGAAAAGAGCGCAACTACGGGCAGTAGCTCCTGCTTTGGTTCTCGCTGTCGCCTCCTACGACACCCACGGGATGATAAGTGGTAATAAATATTCTTACGTTCCTACTACACGTTTCACTTTACTACGCAATTCATTATTATTTATAGCCAAGCACAGACATACGCCAGAAAATATGGATTTCTACCCATTTTGTCGAAATACCATGCAATCGAAGAAATAGATTTGAATCTCACATCATATGTGTAAAATAATTTCCTATTATTTGTATTTCCTTCCGAATACAACGTAGGTATATTATAAGTACGCAATACGCATTACCATCTATGGCTAGATCACTACTTACCCTCAAGCAATAGAACGCTGGCATATTATAGGCAAAATAATATATTTTAAATATTTTTATTATTGAAACACAATGCAAATATTTTTTCATTTATTAGCTTATTACATTGACAGAAATATGTGAAGAACAGGTTTTCAACAGTTCTATTGGTGTCGTTCTGTACGCCAACGGATTAGCTAAATAAATACAGAAACAAATGCAGCTCGGACTGATAATCTGTAAAAAACAGACAATATTTTCATCTCGTATTTTCCTGTTTTACCTTCCGAAACTAAAAGTTAAAATAAATATATTTGTTTATTAACCTAAAGTCACAATCGGACTAACAGTGCACCTGATGGTAAATGGCTGCTGAAATTCACGAAAGTCGGCAAACAACTTCAAACAAAGAGCTAATGGCCTTCGAAATTTCAAAAATGTACAAAGAATATAAAAAGTATTTTTCTCCAATTCTTAAAGGTTGCAACACCCATCCTATAAATTTCGTTATGATAGATTTCATTATTATCATTTCATATAAACGATTAAAATAAGAAATCTATCAATACAAAATACAGCATAAGTATTACCTTCCAGTCTATTGTAACTGACCTTTAGTAATGACGAATAAAAAGTGAAAGAAGAAATAGAAAGAGAATAAAAAACAGTAAACATGTGACTTTTATACATAATATTCTTTGTAACATTTTTGATTCTCCTTCCGAGTTTAAATGAGATAGTAGTAATCGTTTTAATTTTGTTTTATCAATAATCTACATTTTATGTACATTTAAAAATACCGACATTCATAAGAATAATGAGTCGCTCGCGTTCGTAGTCTTCTACCGCCTAATTCTAGGTTCACCCTACACGTGTCTCCCGGGTGGTGCTAAATGAGTGACAAAGCCGAAAGAATAGACTCGGCTTCTCGGTGTATGGTAGTGGCATAAAATCTGCCACCCCCTAGTTCCCACCACGAGACCATTCGCAACACTGCACTGTAATAGAGTTCCCGGCGCCCCTTTAATGTGGCAGGGGTGGGAAGAATCTCCGGGAATAAAACCGACGACGAGGTTCGCTATACGTAAAGTTCTATCTCGCGGAATGGCGAAAATTGGATTGCAGAAGCCCGTCTAGCTACGCTGAATGAATGTGAAGCAATGAATGATAAGATGGATGAAGTAACCGATATGATGTTATGACAGAAGAATAGACGTATTGTGTGCAAATGAGTCGAAACGAAAGAATAAGGATACCACTGCACATTGGATGTAATCCGCTTACTGTTCTGGTGGAGATGAGACCGAGCGGGTATGCCAGGGATTCGGTATCATCCTTTCAGAAAGAATGAGTCAATGTGTGATAGAGCATGAATGTGTAAGCCCGAGACTGCTACACCCCAGACATGTTTAAGCGCACTTATATCCAAGAGCAGTTTTAGGAGATGGTAAGGATGGTGTTAATTAAATGTAATAGAAATGAAAATATAGTTATGTTAGGAGATTTTAATGGAATGGTTGAGGTGAAGAGGCTTGATTATGAAAGAATATTGGTAACGTTTGGTAATGAAAGTATAAATGAGAACAGTGAAAGCCTTCTCACCGTGTGTGTGGAAAATAATCTTTTTGTGACGAAGATTTTCTTTCGTCATAAGAAGATTCACATGTATACATGGGAAGATGTGATGATAGAAGCGTGATAGATTTTATAATTGTGGTTGAAAGAACGAGAAGCCCAGTGATCGACACAAGGGTTTACCGGGATTCCGACATAGAAACGGTCTTATGCCCAATTTATCGTCTTTTTAGACGGTGGCGACGCCGGACATCTGTCTGTCAATGCGTTACAGCGTACAAAACAGAGATGTTATAAGATCAAGATGTGAAAGAGAAGTACAAATGAAGACGGAGAGAAAATATAAGTGATTTGGATGAATAATGTATGAATGATTTAGACTTAGAGTTTGTGTAAGATATTGTTAAGAAGAGCCGTGGTAGCTCAGATGGTTAGCGCTCGCTGTAAATTTCACAGTACGCGAGCAAACCGGGTTCGATCCCCGCCAACATCAATGAAATTGTTAATTGCAATTTTAATTGCTGATTTACCACGTGCTCGGCGGTGAAGGAAAACATTGTGACGAAACCTGCATGTCTGAGAAATAAGAAAAAAAAATATTTCGAAGACATGCAAAGTTCGCCAACACGCAGTGATAATTCCTTTCCTAGGAAATATATATCTATGTCTAAGACATAAGAAAAAAAATTCGAAGACATGTGAAGTTCGCCAACACGCATTGGGGCAGCGTGGTGGACACTTCCTTGCCCTAAAACCCTTTCAGAAATGAGGGGAGGCCTGTGCCCATCAGTGGGATGTGTATATAGGCTGTAACTTAACCTTTTTTAACTTTATTGTTAAGAAAGATTTGGTGGATGTAGCCACAAAATATGTGGTGTAAGTAAGAGAAAAACGAAAGGAAAAATAATATGTTATGGTGGTATGGCGAGATACAGATGGAAATTGAAGCAAAGAAGATAGCATGGCTAGATTTACTAGCAACCAAGGATGGTAAATCTGACGGTATGAATGATAATATCGAAAAAATAGTAGGGAGTAAAAGAAGTAGTTGAAAGACGGAAGTATTTAAAAAAAGCAACAAAGAACAGATAAGAATGATAGAAAAATATCGAATAACTTGATCGAAATATTAAAGTATTCTGCACAATCGTAAGAACAGCCAGAGGATATTCAAAAAAGCATTAATGCTATATGAGACAAAAATGGCTCATTTCTGAATGACAAAGTTTTGAATTTAAAGAGATGGAAAGAATAATTTGAAAGCGTGTTGCATGAGTGAGGAGATATTTGAATTAAACGAATTAAAAATTCCAAAAGAAGAAGAAAGAGATAGGGAGATAATGATTGATGCAATAAAATAAAAAGAAGTGAAAAGCAGGTAAGGCAGCCGTATATGATAGAGTATCACTCGAAACGCTAAGAGGTGGAGAGGGAGTGGTGGCAGACCTGCTATACACCTTGTTTGATTTATGCTGGGAACTGAACCGGGTACCGGAAGACTGATACACAAAGACACACAAAGACAAAGCCGTGATATTCCCAATATACAAAGGAAAAGAACTGTGAAAACTACCGTGGTATTAGCCTTTTTAGCATTGTGGGAAAGCTCTATGCTAAGGTACTAATAGAAAGAGTTATCAAAGAATCTGATGGAAAAATTTTGAACGTGCAAGCTGTATTTAGAAAGTGAATGGGGTTGTACGGATCAATTAGTTTCCGTGCGTATAATCGCGGAGAAGTTTTTAACCAAAAAGATTTTTGGAGACTTGGAAAGGGCTTATGACAGAGTGAGTGGACAGGGACATTTATGGCAAATACTGAACTGATTTTGTTGAGCACTGGGTTGATACGGGAATGACAGTCTCTTTTTAGGGACTTTACTGCTTGTCTCAGAATCAATGCTGCCTACATGTTAGAAATTTGAAGAATGCGGGTTAGGAATGGGAGAGTTAACCATCAAATTCCTTTCGTACGCCAACTATCAAGTAATATTTGCGTCGACGGCGGCCATGTTACATTATTGAACAGGTCATTAAAAGAAAGGAGAATAAAAGTGAATGCAAGTAAGACGAAAGTTACGGTTTTTGAAAGAGAAAAAAGTAAAACGATATGTGAAATAAGAACAGAAGGGGAGTTAATCAAGCCAGTAGACGTGTTTGTGTGCAATTACAGCGGCGCGGGGTGAGAAGCGGGAGCGGGTGGTGGGTCACGCGGAAAACGCACATTTCTATCTATGAATGCACACAGTAGCAGCGGGCACAGTAGCGATTGAGCGGTCCGGACGTACCTATCTCGTGCGATATGTCAGATTATTTGGAAGCTAGTGCTTATTTAAAATGGGACCTTTTTTTCTAAAAGCAATCGCCACAATATCAATAGTGATCGACATAGACGTGGAGAATTTTATACTTTTATACGAAAGGCTGCGAAATCATGAAGATAAATTTTATGATTACACTCGAATGATAATAACAAATTTTGATTACATATTTAATGCCGTAAAAACACAGTTATCGACAACATCAACTTTGTTCCATTAACCATATCTCCTGAGCAGAAACTTTTATTGACTTTGAGGTAAGAAATCAAAACTTTTAATAATAATCATTAAACTTTTAATAAGAATCAACAAAAACAGAAATGAAAAAGAATCAGTAATTATTCCAATTATCTTGCGTTGCACTGTGATAACCACATTGTGTCATATACGGATCTGGAAAACTTTCTTGTTGCAGCTCGGCCATAATAATGGAGTATATTTTGTTTCTGACTCGCAACTTTTGAATCCATTTGAACTGTTAAAGTTGTGGGAGTAAGTTCATCAAATAATGATAATTGTCTGATTATGGCGCTTCCTTGTGTGGCATTGGGTGTACTTTCTTTGTTTTTAAGTAGTAAAGTCGCTTTTTTTCTATTTCCAAGAATTCAGAGCGCAGTTCATTAGCTGATTTCCTCTTTTTTCCTCGACTTGAAGTTGATGAAACTAAAGATGGAGACAGAGAGTGTGCTGGTGCAGATACTGCTATGCTCGAAAAGGGTGATGCGACATTTATTTCACTTCTAGAGTCTTGCGCATCGTCGTTTTCATCACTGTAACTTGTTAGTTCATTAGTGATATTAGATTCACTTCGGCTAGGCTGAATTTGGTCTCTTATGAAAGACATTTGACGGTAATAATTCCAACTAGATACGAAATCATTACCTGCATCTCCTGATCGACTTGGTGGAATTTTCTTAAGTTCCTTTCTCTAATGGTCCTCTATGTTCTTCCATTTTTTCTTCAATATTTGAACTGTAAAAAAAGTTGCTGATGCTGATAAAAAATTCATCGTAGTCGTGGTCGAAGCAAGCAGAGTGATGGTGGCACGTTTCACTGCTCAAGATTAAATAAACAACTAGGAAACAACAGGTTCAATATGCTTCCTCCTCAAACGCTTTCAGGCACCGACAAGCAGCTACCCTTGGTCTTGATTTGCGATGAAGCTTACCCATTAAAAGAATACCTCACACGCCCATATCCTCAAAGAAACCTCGACCACAACAACAAAGTATTTAACGAGAAGCTATCAAGGGCCGGGAAGAGCGTTGAATGTGCATTCCGAATTCTATGTGCCAAATGGCGAATTCTTAATAAACCCACAGAAACAAATGTTAAACATGCACGTCTAACAATAAAAACTGCTTGTTTGCTTCATAACATCATTATGAGTAAAGATATTTACGCCTGTAGCGCTGCGATTTCCACTCACCCGCCCCGCCCGCACTTGGTGCACCTTACTCAAAAACTATGTGTTCGCGTTCCCACCAGCGGATTCCACTGCTCGCCCCGCTGCCACTGTAATTGCACACTTTGAGTATTTGTAATGTGTATTTAGCAGGGATGGTAGATATTATACTCGTAAGCATATATAACGACGAGTGAACGCAGGAAGTAGATTAAATGGGGCTCTACATCCTATTTTGGAAAGTCTGAATGTGTCAAAAAAGGCACGTATAAGTTGTAAGTTCCTGTGTAAGTTTTTACTCGGTACCGGCACTTCAAAGTTTTCTCAAACTATAACAGCAATTACCTCGATGTTGCATTTTTATGGGCAGCGGCAGTCCTTTAACATCAGGTGAATATGCGGCTCACCTGATGTTAAAGAAGCCGCATGCTCGTCTACCTCCGCACCTATAAAAATAAACTAACGTTATGTTTACTCATTTTTGTTGACTGGTAGTTAGATAAGTAATAACACAATATATACAATACTATATATTATAACTCATATGTTAATGACTTGTTTTTTTTTTCATGCAGTTTGTTATAAAATAGTTTTAGATAAACTAAAACCCGAGGAGTAGAAAGTTAAGGAAGTAGTAAGGAGGGAGGAATATACTTTATAAAGCACCTACATTAATAACCACAAAAGTTTTCGAAAATCCCTAATCTTTAATTTGCTACGACGAGCAATTTTGATTAAGATGTACATGTAGAACAAATTTTACAATTACTACTTTAATTTAAATTAATTCATCCTTTGTTAATTAATCAATCTTTCCTTTCTTTACTGTGAATATCAAGAATCACGAAAAGAAACCTAACGGTTAAAAGCAACTTCTGATAAGGTAGAATCAAATTATCGCTAAGTAATACAATACTAAATCACTACAGCCAATCAAATGTCCACTGGTGAACATAGCTCTCCCAAAGGGGGATATTTGCCATAGTAGCCACGCCTGGCAAGCCGGTTGGTAACCATAATTTTTTGAGAGTTCCGTACCGATAGGGTAATGAACGGACCCTATAACTAAGCCTCCGCTGTCCGTTTGTCTGTCAGTTAGTGGGCTATATCTAATGATCCGTAATAGGTAGACAATTGAAATTTTCACAGAATGTTTTTTTTATAGAATAGTGGTGATAAACAAACACACTGTCCACCTGATGGTAAGTGGATGCTGCGGCCCATAGACACCTACATTTATCCTCGATTAAGAATCAAAACGCAGATACGTTGTTTCCAGTAAAAAAAGGTCTCCAGATCTCTACACTCACTATACAAACCACAGCAGTATTAAGCTGCTATTTTACGCTGGTATTCTGTGAGAGCGTGATCCTTCCCCGGTCGAGCCGACCCATTCGTGGTACAACCATAATATAGCTACAGCTTGGCTCTACCACGTATTAAACGTAGTACCCGGTTGACCGAGCTTTGCTCGGTATTTTTCGCTTGGTTTTTTTTTAATTTCGTGTGTTTTGGAAATTATATTTAGATACAAATTACATACTGATGAAATACGAATAACATTTTTTGATCGTAGCGACATAATAGAAAAAACTGAACTGGTTATTTGAATAAAAAATTATGAGTGCAATTAGTTTAATTTAAATTTTCGTGTTTTAAAAAATGCTAAAAAAGGGTTCGAAAAATAGATTTTCTCAAAAAAAGAAAGGAAGTTGAAAAAAAAATTAAAAAAAACGGTCGGTCGTTCTGGGCTGGAACCATGGTATTACGAGTTTGTGACCGCCCATTATACCAATTAAGCTATTTGTAATCTTTAATAAACTGTCAAAATTTACCTTCTTATTCTAACGATATTGTAGCAGTTTTTCATTACCTAAAACACGGACAAAAAGACATTTTCTAAAAATAAATCCTAGCTAGATCGATTTACTGACCCCGAAACTCCCTGCACACAAAATTTTATGAAAATCGTTGGAGCCGTTTCCGAGATTCCGATTATATATATATATATATATATATATATATATATATATATATATATATATATATATATATATATATACAAGAATTGCTCGTTTAAAGGTAAAGGATATGTATTTCTATTGCCGCTATAACAACAAATAAATTAAAAATTAAGGAGGCTACCCTCCTAGACTTGGCGTACGAAGACTATGATCGGGACTTTTCTGCGTGATAAACTCAGACATGAGAATACCTGCAGTAGAACCAAAATAACTGACATATCTCAATATCAATTTCAATTTTTATCAATATCGAATTACTAACCTGAAATGGCAATGGGCCGGGCATATTGTCCGAAGAACTGACAATCGATGTTAAGAAAGGTTCTCGAGTGATAGCATCCCCCCACTAGATGGAGTGATGACCTGGTAAGACTTGCAGGAAGTTGATGGATGCAGATGGCCCAGAACCGAGCTTTGTGGCATTCCTTGGGGAGGCATACGTTCAGCAGTGGACTTGTGAAGGGTTGATGATCATGAATCTCTGGAGAGGTGAGTCTGGAGGTGAGGTAAAGAAAGTTGTGTTTTCGAGTATTTATGATCTTCGGAGAAAAATGTTTAGCGCCATGGACAGCGTATTGTCCATACGTCCGCTCGCATGGAAGCGGGTGAAAGAATATAATAGAGTAGGATACTTCTTATACTATAATATAGATTATACATGTAATTCTTATTGAAAATCATTTTTTACTTTACTCTGGACTCGTGAATCTACTATCACAAGCGTGTGTTTGTTCCTAGTGTTTACAGAGTGTATATCACTACTTTTTATAAAACAACTTTTATTTTTCTGAACATACATTAAATTTTCGTAAATGTACTAAGAGGCAAAAGTTGATACATAAAATTCATTAAATTTTCAAGAGGCTCTCGGTTTGAGGTTGTAATAGACTTATGGCCATCTACTGTAAAACAAAAATAATTTCTAAATCAGCCGCATTTCCCTATAGCAGAATTCCATAGGCCGTTATGCTATGGTAAATAACCGAAATAAATTAATCAAGCTGTTGCGATACTAGTGAGACCTCTAACCTTTTTACAGCATAATATGCAGAGCTTAGTCTGCTTGCTAGTATGGGGGCTCAACTAAATCTTCGCGTCGAGAGAGATGCCAAGAAAAATAGTAGATTGAACAGATCTGTTTTTCGCCATTCAGAAACATATTGGTATTGGTATTCAGATTTTTAACATTCTGTGTGGTTAGTTTAAGAAGAAAGAAGTGATGCGAGAGGGCCCTATCTCATGTGTGAATTTTTTTTAACATAATGTCAATAAAATATAAACATGCAGCTACTTGTATAAAAATAACTATTTAATTATTATTGTGTACTCAATGTCTTCGTATTTTACCAGCAAACATTACAAAATATTTTTTAAACAAATTAATTAATAATTACAATTAATCTTTGGCTCTTTGAGCAGAACAATCTTATTTATCTGGTTCGTACAAATTTCTTTACTTAAATAATTGAGCACAAAATCAAAATAAAGTTAAGTTTTTACAACGCAAATCGAGCATTTATTTTTATTCCTCTTATTGTGTGAATTGTATGTCAATTAAATATAAACATAAAAGAAATACTGATTTTACTGATATTAATGCTTGGCGAATATTTTTCGTGTATAAAATATTTTGATGAAAAAATAAGGGTGACAAACGAGTATACAGTCCACATGACGGTAAGTGGATGCTGTGGCCCATAGACGTCTTCATTTATGCTCAATTAATAATCAAAATGCAGATGCGCTGTCATCTCTGAGGACAGATGAAATGCTTCACTTCCAGTTAAAAAAGGCCTCCGGTTCTCACCATACAAAATACAGCAGCAAACTGTTATTTCACGCCGGTATTCAGCCAGAGTGTGGTAGAATCTCTACACGTGTAAGTACCAGTATTCACTAAAGTCATGTAAATTGTTAGCAACGTGACTTTTTCTTTGCAAAATATATAATATAATAATAACAAAACAATTAAAAAATTCTATATTTTAAACAGTAAATAACAAATTTCATTGCGTGCGCGTGCAAGTGCGAGTGCAAATGCGAGTGCGAGTGCGAGTGCAAATGCGAGTGCGAGTGCGAGTGTGAGTGCTAGTGCACGAGCGCGTGTGAATGTATGTGTGTGTGTATTACCAACGAGGACATTATAGTAAATATTTCAGTCGATTTTAGTATTGTGTAGTGTAGTTAGTCCTATTTAGGTTGATTTTTCGAATTATTATTGCCAAAGCTTGTTTGCTATTTTTTTAATATATTAGATATAATGTACGAATTTGTGCTTTGGTCCTTGTCTTCCTACTAGTTTTGGTTTTATAGGTCGGCAAAGCTTAAGGTAACCATATTACCCCATAAAAAATTAATCATCACATGAACATGCTACAGAATTGCACAAACGCACTCGGTAACTTAGACTTTTTTGACCCATTTTCCAATTATACTATGAAAGTTATAAATGTTATTTTTCTTTAGTATTGTAATATAATCGGCTTGTATTTTAACATGTATTACCTTTTCAATATTTTAAGAAGTTTTACGAATTTATCAAAGCTGTATTAATCCTTGATTTAGCTATGGATACTTAATGTTCGAAATTAATGTATTATAACTTTATGCTTATTAATGCATTTTAATTGTTCTAAATATTCATCTTAAGATATTTTTAGATGACTTTACTTCGTAGCGTGGTCTTGATAGTTCATGAGCCATTTATTTTCTCTGTCGAGGGCATTTGTATTATTTTCAGTCGGCCACCATGTCCTGTAATGTAAATTTACTATATGTATGGAAGGATTATTTTTTTAAAAATTAAAATATCTTTGAACCAACAATTTCCATGATGTTTTTTGAACTCCATTAATAGTCTATTGATGGTCGTTGCATGGACACCCGCATTTGCGTGAGTTTTTTATCAGGATAATTATCCGCCGCCATGATGCATCACAAAAACAAAACTTAGCCAGTACCTCTAACGATGAATAATGTAACTATTTTACGATATGATCAATAATGTTTGACATTTCTTGAAGTAGCCGTGAATTTAAATGTTCATATCGTCAAACGCCGATTATTCATTGATCTGGCCAGATCATATCATGATGTTGGCAGCGG